AAGACAAACATGCCCGGCCTTGGAGGAAAAAGAGAGAGACGAACCAAGGAGACATTTCTCAAGTCCAAGGAAGGAGGGGCAAAACAAAACAAAAGCGTAATAAATACCCAGACTGTTTTATATACGTATATATAACAAACAAAACCGGAAGAGAAAAAGGAGGCGATCATGAGATCTCGTTTATACTGCGGTGGTGTTTCCTTTTTGTTTTTGTTTTTCTTTTTAAAGAAGGGTGAAGATGCCTAGCGCACCAAAACTGCACTCGTTAGGTTTTTTCCCACCCTAGGAAGTCCTACACGGCAACGGTGGACAGCACCTAGCACCTGCCTCGTCCTCGCCTCTTTAAAAAAAAAAAAAAAAAAAAAAGCACCCCTCTCTCCTTTTCACTCACTCCTCCCTCCAAAGGGCTGCCTAAAGTGATCTACCGAAACTTTCTTTCCTGGGAGCGACCTGAAAGAAAGCAGAGGCACCGGGTTTAATCAGGGGTTGACTCTGTGCTCGGGGCCCTGTTTTTCTTGGCCATGTTAAAGTCATTTGGGGACAAATTGACTATGAAATGGGAAGGAGAAAACAAAGAACAGTCTTCAGGAAGAAAAAAAAAAGGAAATAGTCACAGCTTCTGAAATTAACAGACTGAATAGCAAAGCCAAAAGAAAAAGTATCCTCAAAGTAACCTTGGAAATAAAGCATCACGAAAGAGCAGAGGGATGGGCAAGGGAGAAGGGGATGTCCTCCGAGGAGTGGGAGAGGCCCGGCCGAGTCCTGGGCAGGGCGGGCGGACTGGGCGCGGAGCGAGGCCCCGCCACCAACCCCGGCTTTAATGGCGGTCACTTGGGTGGATGAGGCCTAAAGATTCCACCGCTAATATTTTTTTTATTAATATTTTTTATTTTTTATTTCTGGACTGACTCAGATAAAGAGATTTAGAAGGACTGAGCACCAGCTGATGCACTTCTCTGGACTTCTCTCCTCAATCCGTTGCCAACTTTGATTGAATGGGTGCTGTGGATGTGATTATATAATACTGCCATTTCCAAGCAGTGTTTTTGGTAGGTTTTAATAAACAGACTTTTCAAAAGACGGCAATATAGAATTGTTAGATCCGTTGTTGATCTAAAAATATTTGCTTTATATTTTCATTAAATGACTTCTTTTAATATTTTATTCAGAATACTTATGAACTGCTGCAAAACGGTAATTTATTTTTCCCCAGATCTTGTATTACGTGTTTTTTTCAGACGAGCACAAATCAAAATGAAATGAAAATATGGACAGTTGCTAGGTAGTAAGGGTATCTTTTGATGTGATCATTTGATTGTAATTTAATTTGAGTAGTGATTCCGTAAGAGCTGATCGAGAAAATAAATTTGTTAGAATGAAATAGTCTGTGTCTGATGCATAAACGCTATGTGGGAAGAAAAGATTTCTTTAGAAAATATTTTTTTACTAATGCAAATCCTTAAGTGATAGCACTTAGCACCACCTAAGGTATATTTGGAAATAGAGAGTAAAGGACAGACATGACAGAAACCGCTAGTACTTTAACATAGTTGTCACTCCTTGTTAATCCATAAATCTCACAACATTTTTCTCTCCCTTGGTTTCAGTGGGTGTTTTTAGGTGAGATTGTCTAAAGACTAGTCCTTTTCTTGGAGATGTCCTTTATCATCTTTCCCAGAAGATTGGACTACAGCACCAGTAAAAATGTGCCAACTGGTTATTAATGGTTAATACAGAGCTCTCCCCCCACCCAAGTTTAGCCTCTCTTTTCCCTCCCGTCCCCCCAACCGTACTGCTAAGTTTCTTTCCTCTTTTTCCGAAGACTAATAGTTGTAAAGAAAAGCTTACAAGTCTATAAAATATTTTTATATTAATTACTTCCCATTAATAACTATATGCAATTCAGTTTAAATTATTAAGCTGTTTTGGTTTTTGTTTTGTTTTGTTTGTTTTTCTTGTACTGGAAGAATGTAGTTCTAAAATCCTGACTATGGGCCACACTGCATTACCCTCAGTGTGATTACCAGCTCAGACTTAAGACTCCACATTTCTATGTTCCGGTCTTTCCCCAGTATGATTCTGTATCTTCTTTACTGGTGCTGGGGCTTTGAGCTTTTTTTGATCACTCTTTAGCTACACCCTGCAGAGCGGTCACATTTATCAAGTTAATGTATCAATATTGACAATGTGGGAAAATGAAAGTATAATGCCTCAGGTTGTGAGTACTATAGACAGACTCAAAAGGCTCTGCTCAGTTGAGTCCCTTCGTATTGTACTTAAAAAAAGTATTTGGGAGTGATAAAGCAATGATTTTATGGATTAATTTCCTCTTAATCTCATTTGGCTGTCACTCACTTTCTGCCTTCTCTCATCTTCCTCTCTCTTCCTCTGATATCGATGCAGGGGTTAAAAAACCCGGAAAACTGTGAGAGCAACAAGAAACAGTCATTTCTTCCAGACAGACCCTGTGTCACTTTCATAAATCAAGCCCAGCCAGATGGCCATGTATTGGGTTGCATTATTTTAAACACCAAATCGTACTAAAAATCACAATCATTTTGATTTGTGAAATCTGAAAAAGGCCATATTTATTAAACAGAAGGAAAAAAATGAAAACAAGAAACCACAATTTACTTTTCTTTGCGTTCTTGTTTCCTTTTTCTCTTGCTATTATAATCTCTCTGCCCAGCAAATTTACAACCTGGAGTGGGGGTCGGGAGTGGGAACAAACTTCATCATTTTTTTGAGGGGCTACGGGGGCAAGCAAAGAAGGCCTTATGAGAAAGCTGAGGATTGGGTGTGGTGGTTTTTATATGGTGGATACTGCTGGCATGTGAGATGAAATCCTATTTTCCCTACAGGAATGGTAGTGGTTGATTAGAGAGAGAATGGGTCTATTTAAAATTTTAGGAGGTATTTGCTTACTTGATTTGGCTGACAACAAAAGAACTAACATTAGATTTCACACTGTTTTCTATTAAAAAGCAACCTTTGCTGATTACTTTGGAAGGAGCCCAGATTTAAGGGTAGCAGAGTAACTTTTCACCGGAGAAGATGAGAAAGAAAGCCCATTTTATTTCATCATTTTGCGTTTTTAAAAGTGAGCTCATGCTTGCACTCCATATTTTTTTTTTAAATCAACCCTTTGAATGTATTTACAAAATGAAATTCATGGTTGAAAAACAAAAGAGGGCAGCTATAACTGAGAGGTTTTGTGCTAAGGCTTATATTGTTACACATGTAAATAATGAAAATATTGTTATATATCACCAGATCTTTTTAATGAATTTGGTCATTGTGTTCCTTTGCAGCGCAAGTGTCTTGTGCTTCGTAAAGTGCCCATTTGTTTCCTCCATTTCAATCCACCCCCTCCTCCCCTTCCAACCCAAAGGAAAGTGACAAAGTTCTGTTCCATCAATCTGGCTAATCCGGAGCTAGGCCCATTTATAGTTTGCAGTGTCCTGTGGCTCCTGATCAGTTGTCCAAGCCCCTGTCACCTCATTCACCCAACCATCTTCCCCTGCAAGTCTGGGCGATAAATCATTCAAGGTGTATTTAAAAATAGTCACTTTACTGTTGTTGCTCTGCCTTTTTTTTTTTTTTTAAGTACTTAGCCAAGGACTACTTCTTTGTTCCAAAATAGAACTGTTCATTATTGATCTTAGAGATTCCCTCTGCTTCCCTGTAGCCTCCAGTGTTTGCTTATTACCATGCTCATAATCTGTTTTGTGTGAATGGTTTTCAACATTCAGAGAATAATTGGTTCTAATATTAAATGCAGTATATACAATTGATAGTTTTATCGATAAGTGTAATATTTTAAATAATTTTAACAATTAAATTTGTTTTTTAAATTATATATTTGTAAAGTATTTATCCTGTTGGAAGCAACAATATATTGTTGTATTTATTCGTTTATTTTTGTAATAAATGATCAACCTCTTCAAGCTAAATCAAAAATGACACTTTTATATATTTATACAAAATGCATTTTAAGATATGGGCATATTTGCACCAATTTGTATGTAAATAGAGTAAGAGCCATCAATAACTTGTAGCTTTCAGAACTAAATTGAAGGAAGAAACATTCTCTCCACATGGAGTTTAGTTTGCCCAAGTTCCAGGGTAATTAATCAAACTCTAAAATGGATGCAACAAGTATTGGCACTGGATGCAGACTTGAAATTAATTATTTAGGAGGTGGACCTGGTTTTTTTCAAGGCAGAAGGATAGAAATGAAAGAATTCTCTTCTTTCATGAATTGCACGTGACTGACTGGACTGCTTAGGACAGATGCTGTGGATCAGTGATAAAACCTAATACCTGGCTGTGCTCAGACATCTATGCTGGGGGAAAGGTGTTGAGAGTTAAGACTTCGAGGCTATCAGTCACTCGGAAGCAAGGTGATTAGAAAAAAAGAGTTGTACTGTGTTTGTTTTTCAAAAGTAGTTCTTGAAATGGCTGTGAGTGAAGAACCTCTCTCTGCTAGTCCCGTTACTGACAGCATGAGCAATCAGTACAGGTTGCTGTTGCTGATGTTGGTGAGAGTGAGGCGCGTCAGAAGTGGGGGGACCCCCTCTCCAGCTTTCCGGGTTCTGTAGTTCACTTGGTCATCTCAGTTTCTCAGGGCGGCTGTTCCGAGGGCCTGAAGGTCACCCACGTGACCTCCCGCCTGCTGGAGCCCCACCGTGGGCTTGATCTTGATTTCAATAAGGAAATCAGGGGGCTCTGGGTTTGCCTGAACTTTCCAGTCCAGGAAAGGAAATAGTGCGGAGGCTGGAAGACCTGGGTGGGGGTGGGGGAGCGGAGATAGCAAGAGGGGTACTTGTGTAATCAGATTCTTTGATTTTGTTAGCCTGGCTCATGGCCTATTAATTAGATTACGCTCTCTTTCATTCTTGATTTCACATCCGTGTTTGTTCCTGTATCCTAAAATGTGGGCGCGAGCGTGGCGAGCAGGAGCCTATGATGTCACTGCCGGCCAGCGGCGGCCGCCTGGCCTTCTGGAGGGCTGTGGGCTGCGTTCTTTATGAGTCTTATGTGTCGGATCTTCCTCAAGGAAGAGTTGGCTCTGGAAGTGACCTCAGAGGGGTCTGGGAAGAGGGCAACTGGCATTCTCGCGGCCGCACGGTGTGTGCGCACTAGTGTGTGTGTGTGTGTGTGTGCGCGCGCGCGCGCGCGCCCTCGCGCCGCGTGCTTGTGGGTGCTGGGGAGGGGAGGGGGGCTGCGGAAATTCGCGTCCTGGACTCTCAAGCCCTAGGGATGCAGATGGCTTGCTCAGGTGCAGGGCCTGCCTCAAGTGGAAATGGGGACCCGAGGAGCGAAGGAGGGCAGCGCCGGGGCAGCGGGCGGCAGAAGCCCAGCTTCTCTCTGGGACGCAGGGCCGGCCGGGCGCCGAGGTGGGGCGGTGGCGGTCACGGTGGGGTGGCCCGATCCCCGCTCGGCCCGGCCCGGCCGGCGGTCCGGCCGTAACAGCTGCTGCCAGTCCCACAAGTTGTTTTCCTCGTGGCGACCATTCAGCAAAACGCACGATCCTTTCTCAAAGATTTAAATTTCGCGGATGAATTACCATACACCGGTTGCTTAGCAACTAAATTCAAGCAGGGCTAAGAATATGCAAGCTTTTTGTATTCTCATTAATAAAATGCCACTCTGACACAGCAACCCGACTTTGGATCACTGCAACTTCTGTAAAAGCCGTAGGAGAATACAAACCAATCCTGCCATTTAATTACAGATCAAAATGGCTTGAAACGCGATGTTTTGTTCATCTATCTTCCTAAAAGCGATGTAAAAAATAACGGCTTTTCAAGAGCAGTAGTAAATTTTTTTCTTTAATGGAGTTGTCTATCGGGGTTACTGATAATTGTCAACTGAAACTTTTTTGAAACCCAGGTTGAAATATCTCTTTTCATCAACATCTCTACTCTCTCCCTCAGTCCCCTGTCCTCTGATCCTGCGCTCGTTCCCCAGCCTGATAATAACAATTATTGTCATAATTCTGGAAATACTCAGGCCTTGGGAGCCCTAGAGACTAAAGGGCACTTGGTGGAGCAATCGACAAGGCCGGTGGCTGGAGAAAACCTAAGAAACTGAGGAGAGAGAGAAATGAAAACTTGCGAAAGTTTCCTTGGATGGTCGGTCGGCTCAGGTTCCAGAGGTCCTGGCGAACACTTTTTGGAACGCATAGGGGAATTCAAGGTAGAAATGCCCGTCGACCTCTGTTCCACATTTGCGGATTTTCCGTGCTGGGGTCCAGCCTCCTCTCCCCGGAATTCGGTTACCGCCTCCCCCTCCGCGGACCGCAGAGTTCAGAGGGGCTGAGTTCAGGGCCTGCTGACCCCGGCTCTCCCGGAGATCCACCTCCCTGCTGCCCCAAGCCCCGGAACCCTGGAGGAAAAGTACAGACGGAGCTGGACCCCCTGGGTCTTCAAAGACTCTGGCCCAGCCCAGAGCCTGGGATTTACAGAAGGGGGGGCACTTTGTGTCTCTTCCCGAAGGGTGCCGTGCCTGGAGGGGGACGCGCTGGCTCAGAATGAGGTTCTAACCCTTTGCTACATACAGTCCGAACGTGTGGGGGGGGGGGGGGGCGGCGGGGGGGAATAAGGGTCAGAGAGGACTGGCCTGGTGCGCGGGTAGGTCGCATTGTTTGGGACTGCGCCGAGATCTAGGAAGCCGGAGCTGTGGAGCGGGGGCAGGGCAGGAGGAGGCTGGCGGCTTTGTGGAAGTTTCGGGCCTCCAGGCCCTGCGCGCCGCTCCCGGCAGTGGAGTGCTTGGTGAACCCTGGGCACTTGGCCCGCGCCTCGGCTTCCCGCGTGTGGGGAAACTCGAGCGCCGGGAGAACGCTGGAGGAGGCTGCGTGTGCCCGGCCCCGGCCCGGTCACCTCCCGCGCCCCGGCCCCGGCTCCGGCCGGGGACTGCGGGCCCCGGGCCTGCGCGGCGATACCGAGCTGGCGGCGGGCGAGCGCGGGCCGCAGGGGAAGGCAGGGGTGCCAGGAGGCAGGTCGGTGCCCAGTCCGCCGGCAGGGACGAGCGCGCGCCGGCTTTGCTTTTGAAGCGGTAAAAGGAGGCGGTGGTCCGCTTTAGAAAGATCCAGGGGCAAAAGTGAAACTCTCCAGATTGGTTCCAGTAACCTTCCCCGGGAGCCAAACCCCCTTGCGCTTTGGCAAACGTGAGAACTTCAGAGGTGTAAAGTTCCCCGGTCAGTGTAAAGATACCCCCCACCCCCCACACACACACCCCCTCCGCCACTGACTCAGTTTTACCCGATTTCTTTCTAGTGAATAGGAAAAAAAAAAAAAAAAAGTGGAAATCAAACCAGAAGTTGAAATATTTGCCCTGTTAAGTGCTCAGAGGCATTAGAGTTCGTTTTTTCAGTAAAACGTACATAATAAACAGGAAGCCATTTATTTACAAATACAATTGCCCCAGACCAGCCACATTCCATGTACGTAATTCATTAATGGAATTCGTTCCTTTTGCTCCCTTTGGAAAAGAGAAATTTTAGCTTTTAAAAATAGCTGGGTCTTGGGGGAGGGGAAAGAGCATGGTTAGTTACCTGTTCCTAGAAAAAGCAGCAGGGAAGTCTAGCCAATTCTTGTTTGTGGGGGTGTTAAACGGTATAAAATAACCATTTAAAAGGTATGGAGTGCTTTTTGTTTTCTTCTTCACTCTTCAGAAAATAAGTTTGTTGGTCCGTGGTTGCTGTAGCCAGAGTTGTCCAGTGGAAATGCGCTGGTAACATAATCCTAGTTGGCGTGTGCGTGCCTACACATGTGAGCAAAACTAAAATTTAAATGACTTGAGCTGGCTGGGAATATATCAGAATTTTATCCGTAAAACTCACTTAGTTGCCATAGTTTTAGAAATGTCTGTGGAAACGCGCCTGCCATTCCCTCTCCTTCTTGAGAGGAGTTATCCTGGGGAGATGCTAGCACAGGGCTGCCCAGTTACCAGTATAAACCAGTACCACTTCCCTGGAGAACCTGACTTTGGTCCTTCCTAATTTGAGAAGCTACCTTTAAGTGAATCCCCTGTCCTGTCCCTGCAAGTTGGGAAGAGGGGCCTTGTTTGGGAGAGAGAACCATCTGGGGGGAAGGCAGAATCATGTGTGGGTCTCTGGGTGACCCAGTGAGTAGCAAATAAACATCAAAAGCACAGGACACGCTGAGGTGTGTCTGGGGCTTTGTGACATCCCAATACATGACATGTTTACAAAGGACAAAAAGGATGATAAACTGTTCGTGTTTCACTGTTGTCGCTACAAAATAACAGGACGGACGCTGAGAGGAAAGCAAAAATATCTTTTTAATACAAAAACAAAAACAAAAGGACAAGGGATGTTCTGATGAAGAGCTTCCTGGGAGATTGCACATTACTTGTGTCCTCCAGGACTGCCTCTCGGCAGAAGGCAAGCCCATTTAGTCGGCTGGAACACTGCACACTGAAATAGAATAGATATTCATTTCAAAGAGCTCACTTTGTGCCAGCACCGAAATAAAAGGTGCCAAAACCTGCTGTCCTCGCTCTACCCAGGTTCAGACAGGCCAACTTCCCAGGTGTGAGTCGGTTTTGTCCCACTCCCCCACCCCCTGTACGAATCTGGGAGGGAGAGCATCTATGTTTCACTTACACTTCCAAGGTTGAAAACTCCCCAGCAGAGTTTTTAAAAAGAAATTAAGTAAGTCTAATCAGAAAGTGTAGTATCACCCAGAAACTAACAAAATGAAAATAAACGTCTTCCTAGCTTGCTCTTGAGAATCTGTAGGTTACATTGCAGAGAAACCCATTAATGAACACAATGTCGTCTACGAAGTATTTTTAATGAACATTAACATTTGATGGGGGGTGGGAGTCTTTCAAACTTGCTCAGGTGGGCCTACTGATTATACTTTGTACTCCTTGCAGATTCTTCCAGGGCTTTAAAAAGGTTTCGACCCCGAGAAATGTCTTTAACTCTTCCGAGAACTATTTAATAGTTGTCCTGGATGTTTTCAACAAGAGAAGGATGCAGAGTAAGGAGTCTTGGGTCTAGTGAAGTCTGGGCGGGGGGGGGGGGGGGGGGGGGTTAGTTGTGCCACTGAGCAGCCAGCACCTGAAATGGGCTTTCTGCTTTTCAATGAGGAGGAGGGGCCACGGAGGTCAGCACTATTTACATATGTACCTGATCCCACCGGCTTTCCTCTATTTATCAAAGAGGAGGACCTGCAAGTGAGGGGTTAAAAGGGAGGGGAGAGACCAAAAGACAGATCAGTTACTTGCCCACTTTGTTCCTGGGCCTTGAACTGGGCTTCAAGGAGGGGAATACAAGTCTCCAGGGAATGAAGCCCCCCCCCCACCTCTCTACTAGCATCACCCTGACACTCTCACCCCCACCTCAGGGCCAGAAAACCATGTGCCGGCTGATTTGCAGCAAAATGGTAACCTGAGGAACCCCGTGTGAGTGTTACATAACATTCAGAACCTTCTGCAGGGAGAGGTGCTTATGCTTGATTTTTCTCCCAGTGGCTCTGCGCAGGCAGAACAGCCCAGGAAGGAGGAATGAAGACAAATTAAAGAGGAAATCTATGGGGAAATGCGTGGCCATATATGATGAAGCATGTGAGTTTATCTGCACCTCCTCTACACCCTACCTAGAGCTGTGCTTTGGCCGAAAGAGGACTCATGCCTAATTTGGGGTTTGGAGGGGAGGGCAGTCATACCCAAGGATGCTGGGATCTGGTGGTCCTAAGCCAGGAGAAGCCGAAAGTTCCGAGCTCTGTGTTATCCTCACCCTTGCTCTTTCTTAAGGAATCCTCCAGCACTTACTCTGGGAGAGCACACCCCCTTTCCCCCATGCCCCCTGCTGTGCCTATGGAAGTCCCCAGGTGCCCCTGCCAGGTGAGCCACGCATTCGCCAGCAGCAGGAGTCCACCACTGCAGCAGCCCGAGGTCACATTCAGAAAGCCTGTTCTTCCAGAAGAGCCTCCCAAGGCAAAGGCGGTTGGAACCGCGTTCACTTGCCCCAAGCGCGAAGGGGAGATCTCAACCAACGGACAAGCATTTTGCAGGAGGAGCTGTGGAGCTGGGCAGTGGATCTGGGCAGATCCCTGGTGCCAGGTCCCCTCCGCAGGGGGGCGGGGTGGGGGGGCAGGAGGGGATGGGGGGAGGTCCCGGGAGGGGGAGCTGCTGAAGGCGCGCGAGCTGACAAAGCTGTAACAAAGGATTCATGCAAAAGTAGTACCAAGGATCTTTAAATTATCACACACCTTACAGGCGTGTCCCCAGCTCCCCGGACTTAGAGTCCATTGATTGTTCCCCCGGGCTCCACAGACATGCCGCGGCTGTCAATGGTGCGGGGCTGGCTGCCCAGCCCCACAGCCTCGGCCCCTGCGCTCTTGTAGGCAGCCGCGGGCATGGGTGGGTGGCTGCGCCTGGGTCCGCAGGGCCTGGTCGATGGCTGTTCCTCCCGTGGCCCGGTGAGGCGGTGGTCTCGTTGGGCAACATCCTTCGCCCTTGGTTTTCCCCGAGAAGGTCACCGGCTGCAGTCGGGCGGGGCGGTGGAGGCCCAGAAGCAGTCCATAAGCCTCCCTGCTGGGCAAGAAGAGCACGGGAGGAAAGGGGAGCTTCTGGGGTTGGAGGATGTCCGAGTCACCATGGCCTTTGCAAGGAAAGCAAGCAGGACACGCTTTTGGGGGTGCTCACGGAGGCTAAGCTTGGACACTCCCGGGCCTCCCGCCACCCCCACTGAGGCTCCCAGAGGACCCCATTTCTTCTGGCCCCTCTATCACCGTGACCTCCAGGTCTCCTGCCACCACCAAACCCTGGCAGTGACCCAGCGCCCAAGCGCTGGGTAGGAATTGGTGGATAGGAACTGAAGCCCCAGCATCTTGGGCTGGAAAAGTTGACACCAAAGCAGGAGGGTGATTGTGAGTGGTGAGGCGAAACAGCATAAAGACCCCAAACTTCACCCTAGTGCCCCCACTGGGATCCTGAGGTTCTCCATGCAGCTCCCACATGCCCCTGGGAGCGGATGAGAGAGGCATTTTTTTCTGGTAACTCTGGGGCCCAGGAGTGGAGCTCAGGGAGACTAAAGAAAAGGGAGAAGCTCCCAGGCTCTGAGGCCAGGAGGAGGAGAAGGTGAAAGAACCTATCAGGCCCAGGCGCCCCTTCACTGGGGACAAAGGAGGAAATGAGAACAAAACTTGGGGAAAGGGGTAGAAGTGGGTAGAAACTGTGCTCAGTGACCATCCCTCTCCTTCTTGGTGTCCCCTTACTTTCATTCAACCCAGAGGGAGCCCCTGCAGACCTGGGGCATCCCGTGCCCAGCCAGCAGGGCCTCTCGGCCCCCTGAGTAGCCCAGAGAGGGAGATCTGCCCAACCTGGCTCAAGCCCTCAGGCCAGGCTTCCAGAGGCTTCTGCCTCCCCAACCTGCCCCCTCCCCCCACCCCCTTGGCTGACCTGGGCTGGACGGAGGCTCAGACCTCACAAATGGCCTCCGCAGTGGGGCCTGCAAGAAAATTCCAGCCAGGCAGCCCAGCATGGCGGAGAGGACTGGAGACAGTGAGTGACACCAGCTCCTACCCCTGGCTCCGTACAAGTGCAAATGAGATGCATTCTGGCTGATCAGTCCACTGTATTTTATGCAACTTAATGTCTATGTCTTGTCAACTCTTCCAGTCAGGAAGAATAGCAGAAAATTTTAACGAGAATTTGTGTGTGCGTGTGGTTTCCGACTACAACTCCATGCAGGGAGATGGGGTGAGGCTGGAGACAGGGAAGCTTGCTGACATGAGCAGCATTATATAAAGCCCCCTAAAATGCAACCTTAGGCCACAAAGAAAGAAAAAAGAGGCAGGAAGGGATATGGTTGCTGACAAGCGACCTTGATGAAACTAGGTGGGTTTCTGGCTGGGAAAAGTTTAAAGCTCTAACATTTCTTTTTAAGAAACAAGATTTCTCTGTATTTAGTGGGGTGCAGGAGACAGATCAAACTCCTTCGCCCAGCCTACCTCACATCTCGAACAGCTGCCTCCACATCTGACCAGACTCCCCAGCTAGGTTTGCTGAGAAAGCAGGTCCCACCAGACCTCAGTGATGTGAGCCTCCTGCGGGGTTAGGGGAAGGAAGGCAGGGCAGGTCCGAGCTCCAAAGGGCCTCTGGTATCCGGCCCCGGGCCACCTCCTATGGTTCACATGGGCACTTGGGGAGAGAGCTCTGGTCTTTTCCTTTTTTTCTTTCTCGCTCTCTTTCTTTTTTTCCTAGCACAGAGCCCTAGAACTCCTGGTAGTACAGCCAGAGAGGACCGGAGGGCCAGCACCACCCTCCACCCTTGCCCCTCCTCACAGGAATTGTTGTCTCAGGCTTGTCTGCAGCTGACCCAAGGCCCGGGAACAATGGGTTTTCTTAGCCCTGTCCCCAAGCCCTGCCCCTCTCCCCCTTGCCAGGCTCAGTGGGAGGCAGGGCCCAAATGGCTGAGAGTAAGGGGAGCTTCATGCCAGCCCTGGCCTTCTCTTTCATGATGTTCTGGGGGTCAGCAGGGAATTTGTTGTTGACATATGAGGCTGTCCTGTGAAGATCTACCTCTGGGGTCCGCTGCCCACTCAAGGAAGCCAGGGTAGTTTTACTCTCAGGACTCAGGGTCTTCTGTAGGTTGCCTACAGCCAGGGTCAGGCAGAAGAGGCATGCACATCAGTGGAAGGAGACCACCCCAGGCCCATTTCATTCGGGTGAGGTTTTTGGACCTTTCAGGTGTCCTAGACAATCCCACGCTCTCCTGTTACCTGTGGAGGAGTCCTTCTCGGCTGTATTCCTTGGCTGAGGTGTGAGATGCCCTAACTGCTGGGCAATTAATTCTAACAAAATAGAACGGGGAGGGGGTGATCATGTGCTTCACATCAAGAGAAGGGGCCACCCAGCACTCTGAAACCATCCAAACTTTTACGCCGCTTCGCAGAGGAGTTTGCTTGTCGCAAGCAGCTCAGGTTTCGGCCACGCAGCCTGGGCATTTCCATACCAGTCTGGTAAATACATCAGAACCAGATGTATGCTGCTGCTGTGGGCCTCCCCCCACGAGCCAAGGTGCTGGGGAGACGGCCCAAACAAGACAGACCCGAAATTCATTGCCCCAACTCACCCAGCGTCCTGACAGGCCCATATGAGGGGCTGAATTCTAGGGCAATGAGTGGAGGCGACCCACACCAAAATGGTCTGGCTGCTTTGCCCACCTGCTTCATGGTGGCGACCAGAGCCCCTGCAAGCTGCCCCCTCCTTTCTTCTTGCTATGGAATCCTGACCACCTTCTCCAGTAATAAAGAAACCGAACCTCAGCAGCCCTTACACCAACAGACTCTTCTCACGAACCTTTACTTTTCAAACACTCGCTCAGCTTTCGACAGGCCCAAACCATTTCAACCCATGAGCAAAAAAAAAAAAAACTTAAAACCTAGGCCAAGTTCCTTATTTCTCCTTTGCTCCCTGAGTTCACCATCCCTCACTTCTTCATCTCCCAGCCATCCCAATATCCATTACCCCATCTGAAGGCTTAAAACACTTGCTCCTTAAAATCTTCTAGGGCTTTTAGCAGTCCTAGAGTAACTGTTGAGAGAACACACCCTTCCCACCCCAATTCTGCATCCAAACCTTGTAATACCCATCAGCTATCACACATCGCGTAACTAGATGCCCACCAGAAAGGTGGACTCCATTATTTATCAGAAGTAGCAATAAACTTTACTGAAAGAAATATATTCAGCATCGACTATGGGATACCTACTGGAGAACTTTTTGAAAATATTCCGTGTGTCTTACCTCCTTTATTGGGATGCAGTGCTGTAAAAAAAAAAAAAAAAAAAAAAAAAAAAAAAAAAAAAACCTTAGGTAGCAGACTTTTGAAACAGTTTGATTACCTTGAGCAGGTTTGGAGTCCTCCACTCCCATCATGAGGAATAAAGTCACTAATGACATAACTGGTATTGAATTGCTTGATCTGATTGGTGCTTTCTCCCTGACCCCATTTAGTTTCTTGAGGGAAGTACAGGTGGTCCAGAACCAGTAAAGGGAGGCCATTTGCAGGCAACTTTTTCAAGCAGAAGGGAAAGTACTTTTGTTATATTTGCAGACATGCGTCTCACACATTTTTTTCCCCTGCCTTTTGTAAACTATCTAAGAATAAACATTACAGATCTGGGTTTTAATTTCTCCAGATGGGATCATAAAGTACCTAGGAGATTATATATATATATACACACACTATAGAATTGAGGACACATGGCTGTTGTTCACAGAAAGCCGAAAAGAGACTCAAGGCGAAAGCAGGAACAACGGAACCGTCCGTGGAATCGAGTATTTGAGCAAGTTCACTTTATTCCTTCTCAGGAAGAGGGTCTGCGGCGGCGAGGAAAAGTTTCCCCCGGTCTTTGGAGCGGGCCAGACCTTCCCACCAGCCAGGCGGCTGGGCTGGCGGCTTCGCGACCCCTCTTCCCAGATCACCCCCCCTCCCCAACACACACACACACACTCTTCTGTCCTCCGGATCTTCGTTCATCCTGGCTCTCCTTTTGAAAACCCCATTGGAGAACTTGCTCTGCGCCTCCTGGCCGCTCTCCCTCTCCTCTTCCCCTGCTCCTCCTGCCCGCTCCCCCGCGCTTTGGACTCACCCGGCGCGGTCCTTCCACTCCGCACACCGACGGGAAACCGGCCTCAGTCGGGGCAACATTTGAAACCACATTTTATCAATACCATCAAAGACCAGCGCGCACACGTAGGGCTCTGATCTCCCAAGCCCGCTTCTTGCAGAAAACCGGGTCTAGGGGGAGGGCGGTAGGGGCGAGAAATCCTCCCTCCAACCGCGATTTCAGCTTTCTTATGGAAATGAACGCGACGGCCCGCTCGCCCCGCGCCCATCTCCCCGGCCCTAGCCCCTTTGCTCCCCAGCCCTATGCTCCCTTTAGCCCCCGCCCTGCCAGCACCGGGTTCTCGCCGCGGCCCGCGGGTGTGGACGCGCTCGCCGTGCGCCTGGGTCGCGGCGCGCGCGGGGACCCGGGCCGGTGGGTTCCCCGGCTCCCCTCCGCCTGGCCGGCCGCCGCTGGCGTTATATTCAGAGATCGCTACTTTCTTAA